CACCGGGAGACGCGGTGGACGTCGTCGGCACTTCTAAATCACTCGCGGTTTTAGTTTGGCTCCGTGTTTTCACCATAATGAGCGAAATGAAAAACTAATGCGAATTAAGATAAAATGTGAAACCAAATTCGTGCAAAAAAATGAATGACGGATGACAATGTCAAACTAGAAATTTTTGAAAAATATTGAAACTTACGCAAAAGTGGATTCCGCTCGTATTACCGAATAATAAATGATCCGGCTCGAAGGACCAAATGATAACTACGTGCGATGTGGACTGTATGATGTGGTAGACTTGGTATATGATGAAAACACGGTCTTCTCAAGTTCACAGTTTATTCGCAACTTACTCTGACATAAGTGATATTAAAATACACGTCATATGAAAGAATATAAAATACAAAGATAAAGTTCTATAAAGAGATCGGCCAACACCAGCCAGTCGCCAACAATGCTCATGATGTCTACTTCTTAATATACAATTACATATATATATTCACCAGCAGGTCAAATCTATGGGACTACGGGGCCTTCATCATCATAATCCTACAGAACCTCTTTAAAAACTACCTACGTTGCCTTTTTGTGTTATCATAAAAGATAATTAGGCACTTATGAAAAGACAAAAAATAATAATCAAATTTATGTATGACATATTATTGTAGGCCAGGACCGATAGTTTTGTCAACAAAAAAAAACGACGGGTTGCACTTCGGGAGTGCCGGCAGAAGTGAAATCTTGAATATTAACGTTGTGCATTTTTGATATTTTAGAATGGGTAGGGAATAATTTTGCACGAATTTCTTTAATTATCAGTATAAAAGTACTGTCATTTATGTGGTAGAATAAAATATTTATTTATTGCGCTATCGTACACAAACATGACAATTTATATTACATTAAAAAGTTTATCTCTCAGAAAAATCAACTAACATGAATCACATTTAAGCGCACCTAGCGACGTCTATTGTAAAAAATGCATTTTCTTCGCAATAAAGCTGCCACCTGGACGTCGTTTTTATTTTATAGAGACATTATCATAATACGATAAAATAAAATATTACTATGTTTCGTTCAATATATTGAAATTCAACCACCATTCCAATTTTATTGTTTTCGTCTTACGAATTTTCGATTAGGTCACGTGTCCGGACGCGATCAGGCCACGTGTCATGACGTGATCAGGCCACGTGTCCTGACGCGAGTTTAACAGTTTTTACCTATTACAAAATATGTGTATACGTCGCTAAAGAAGTTTTCAATTCAAAAATTCAGAACAAGATAATACCCATTTCAAAAGGAAGAGAGAACATTTAGAAAAATAAGAGGAATAGTAGATTGTTAACCGAGGGTGGAAAGAATCAATTCCCGAGGTATTTAGACGCCCGAGCGCAGCGAGGGCGGCTATAGTCCGAGTAGGAATTGATTCTTTTACCCGAGTTAAACACTGTACTTTTCATTTCGAATATGAGGAAAATAAAACTAGTTGTTTATCAAAAATATTTATTCAAATATAGGTAAAATAAAATTAGAAGTAGCTATTTAAAATTAATTGTCATATTAGGACATTAGTGAAATTAAAATTACATTCTTATTTGGAATGTTTATGCTGTTTGATATACTATTAGAAATTTGGCTGTTTTGGATATCTGTAAAAGTAGGAGACTCTGTTATTTCATCAAACGATGGATTCCATGGCGGATACTCCCTGGAAGTTTGAAGAAGAAGTGAAGAAGAAATACACTTTCGAAAACGATTTTATATTCTTCTCTGCTCGCCACTTTATAAGATCATTGTATGATTCTCTATAACACAATTTGCCTCGTCTTTAATTGAATACGGTGTCAACATTTCTGAATCGCTTAAACTCATTTTTAATATTCAAATTTAGATTGCTCTGTTTTACTTATAAGTTTTTTTTTTATTCCGTCACAGATACATAACAGTTTAGTATCCCGCTAATTTATGTCGACTTTTTAAATTTAAATATGGAACAGCGTAATTGTTGCGGCTTATTCCACACTGGCTGTCTAGAAACTCACATGGCATCATATTTTTTTTTTTACATAAAACTCTTCACACCTGACAGTAGTTCTATTTTTAAAGTTCATTCCGGCCCTTAGGCGGGAAGTAATTTGTATGAGTTTTTCCATCTCTAGGGAGGAAAGCAGCATTTTCCACCCAACAAACAGATCAAAACAACACCACTTTCCGAGAATGAGAAATGAAAACATAATTTATGGACGATTTGAAGTCGGGAAGAGAAGGAAGGTTGACCTTTTAAGGTGGAAAACAATTTATCGCAATTTCCAGGAAAACCACTACACCAACCTACTCCTCTCGAAAACAAAACGCATAGTTGAAGGTAATGAAAAGAGCTAAAACCCAAAACCTAAAAATATCTGCAATATTATCTAAATAACCGACTTTTGTTTATTTTTTATCAACGCAAAAAATCTTTTTTGTGAGTTTTTGTAATAACTTATTTATTTATTTGGGATAACAACAGCCATCAATTAAGTTTTACATTTTTGGTTTACAGTTACATGTGAGGCCAATTACAGTCAACCACTATTATTTTTATTTATACAAAAAGAAACAGTTTCTTAGCACACACATCCAAAATAAGTTTCATTTTTTAAAATGATGCTAATCATTTTGGAATACTTAGGGATGTAAATAAAACTAACTAATATTAAGACAATGCCCAATGAACGAGTCAGTTCGATATTATTGATATAAAAAAAAGTTTTTTTAAGTTTTGGTTATAAAACATTCGCATAATAATGTTTACGGTTCATGTTAATCGAATCGTGTTTATAGTTTAAGTAAACAATTTGCTTTTAATGTTTATATTTAATTTGCGTTTAAGTAAACAAATTGCACTGTGATTCTGATTAGTTATTTTATCTATGTTGATGAATTTAATAATGTGCTAATAATATTTGATTTTAATGTATTATTTGAGTTAATAATGGGTCCACATGTGAGAACTTTCTATTATAAGTGCTCAGAATTCTAGTCAAACACATGTCCATGATTGGCTCAGACCAAATAAAAAGTAAACACGGAGTCTGCCGAACAAAAAAGTGAAGCCGATAAAACTACGCCTCGCCGTGTACATACACAGTTACACGCACACACATGCAACGAAACTACGCCTTGGCTTCCCAGTCGAGCTATCCCGGCGCGCGGAGTGTGACGTAATAATAAATAACAATATTTATTAGAGAAAATGCCGAATTGTGTAGTAAAAACGTGTAGAAACCAATCTTCCAAGAATAAAAAACAGGATGGAATCACATTTCATACGTAAGTAAAGTTATAAACTAATATTTTCAATTAATCAAAATCAAATTTGAGGTTGTCGCTTTGTAAACAAAACCTGAACGAAATGCTGCCATGATTATACGTTACAGTTTTACCCTTTTGTTGGGTAGCGTGAAATATAACGTAACGTTATTTTATTAAATACATTGTGTAGCATGCTTTTATATTATTCGAATATTGTAATGCATGGATAAACAATTACACGAAACATCTTTATTATCTTTTTTTGTTATGTATTCGTATAATTTTTTTGGAATGTAATACACTTTATATATTATACGTTTTTTTATGATTTCCTAATCGAAATTAAAATCTAGACGAGAAGTGGATTGCAGTCATTCGTAAGAGTAGAAATGAACCATTGTGGCAACCAGCTTCCCGCAGCGTGGTTTGTTCCACTCATTTTCAGACCGACGATTTGTACTACACAACAAAAGGGTTACGTCATGCAAAACAAAATGCCTGTCCAAAGGTATTTTTTTTACTTAACTTAATATGGTTACTTAGGTTAATTTATATTTTAAAGATTTCAATAATTCTTCAGTCGTGCAGACGGTTGAAACACAAAATTACACCAATTTTATTTCACAATATTAACTATGAACAAATTAAAGAATATTTAAAATATGACGCTAACCGCACTCCATGAAATCCCGCCAAAAACTCCAAAGGTTAAGCTTTGTTTTTATTATATATTTTTTAACTAAACTTTTATTAGTGTAACAGTTATTAAACTTATAAATCACAGGAACCCCAGATCTCCAAGCGCATGAGCTTTGGCTCACGAGAGGTGGCATCTAGCGCTAGTGTAAAACTAATCTGGACTAGTTTAGAGAATAAGCCTACGATATTTTTTTCTAATATTTTATAACGTTATTCATAACGTTATTACATTTTTCTAATACTGGGGTATTATAAATGACTATGGTAATACTGGCTAATGCACTACATACATAAAAAACCGGCTTCACTTTTTTGTTCGGCAGACTCCGTCTTTACTTTTTATTTGGTCTAAGATGATTGGTAGAATGGGATGGTACACTTAACAAAGGAGTGTGTCTAGTTCTGCGAGTAGGAAAATTAAAAATGATACGATCTAACAAATCAGGACAGTCAAGTCACCTATTAAGTATATCATACAGAAATCCAACAACAAGTACTGCGCGTAACGCGGAGACCAACCATACTTGACTCACGTTTTCTAATTCGCTCCTCACATATGCATAGTATAATACTTTATAACTGATTGTGCATTTTGAAAGGCTTACATGTTCTGACAATAAACCCTAATTTACGATACGCGCGATCAATTATGTTATCAAAATGAGCAACAAATAGCATTTTCGAGTCTTAAAGTAAACCAAGATCACGCACCATGTTGCTTCGTTCAATTATCTGGCTATCAGAATTATAATGATAAATTATAGGATTCTTTTTGCGGGTGAAGTTGATACACTGACATTCACAAATGTAAACTATGATTTTTTTTTACAATATTCAAACAAATTATTTAAATTCTTTTGAAGTAAGTCACAGTCGGCAACAGAACGTACCGGTCTGTAGCCTATGGTGGCCGCTTACCATCAGGCAGGTCATATGCTTGTTTGCCACCCTTTATACATAAACAAATGGATTTATATCTTGTGTATGGTGATGAGTATGATTAACAGATCTGGTGCTGCGTCGAGTGTGGAGATGTTGGGAGAAGGCCTGACGGGCGACGACCTCGCCATGATCCCGGAGCACTGGCTGGTATACCCAACGCCGCCAGCGAGCGCGCACACTGCGTTAGCTTTGCTTTACGTGTTCTTAACCGCCGCCGCCTTAGTGGGAAACGGACTAGTCATCTTTATATTTTCCACGTTAGTATTATCGTCTTATTATTTTGTCAATTTTCATTAAAGCATTTGCAAGAAAAGCAAACGGTGCTTGCTGGTTATAATCCAGTTTATTGCCTGAGTCCCATCAAATTCGCATTTACATATAAAATCAATCACTTAGTTGCATAAGGCGCTTTGCAGACGGCGGGGCGGAGCGGGCCGGTCAATTTCGCCGCGAACGATAGCACAAAGTGAATCCTATAGTACAAACGCAATCAGAGGGCAAAAAGACCACGCCGCAGGTTCCCGGCGGGCACTGGCGGCGCTGCATGTCCGCGGCTGCCCGCCGTGGATCATACAAACTAGTTTATATGCAGTAACGCAGACGGCGGCGCGGGGCGGCTAGCTTTTTAGTGATGGGGTACCCAGTATTCTCTATTACGGTTGCTTCTCTTCCTTTTTTTGTACATGAAATAAGCAACGATACGAATTCTCTCTATCTCCATTTTAACTGACGTGCTATTCACTAGAACGAACGTCCTGAACTGACTGCCTCTGCCCGTCATGTGCTTTGTGTACGCGGCGAGGGCAGCCGCAGAAGTCTGCAAAGCCACAGCGGTGACACTCTGTGTACGTGAGAGTTCCAGCGTCAGTGACCTTGAGCAGGAGCGTGTATGCGCTAGGGTTGAACTTGGAATTTAGACTTGTACCAATGAATATTTATGCATAGTAAGTTATTAAATGTAAACTGATTCAAGGATACTGGGGTAAATAATGAAGGATAGGTTTGATTTTATAATCAATTTTTAATCTTTTAATATAGGTACTATAACAAATTGCTAACTTTTATATATTTTCTCCTTTTTCGATTCGTTTTATAATTCTTATTATTATCTAAATAATAATAAGATTGCGTAGCGTAGTCAGTCTGTGCGTGCAATGCAGTGCAACGCTATTATTTTACTATTTCGCTACTGCCATCCCTTCGGTCGAGCCAGTCGGCGACTGCCCTCTCCACGCCCCGCGCGCCGCGCAACACCTCCAGACACCCACACATAGCCGCGGGCGATTTTACGAGCACACATGCTTAAGTGTCGCTTCTTTTCGCGTAGTGTATATATTCTGTGGCAAAGCGCCTATAATCTTTATTTGGTTGGTTTTTGGTTCACTACAAAGCTCTTTCACTACAGTTTGTAGCAGCTAAGACTGAATATGAAATTAATTTTGAGCGTAATGTTTACATCTGCAATAATCGTGATATAAAAAAGTCAGTTACTTGCTTAGTTTGAATATTTTTTGTAATTAAGTCAAATTAATGTACACGTAATTTTACGTAAATTTAAATATTAAACTACTTTTTACAGAACTAAATCTTTAAGAACGTCTAGTAATCTCCTAATCTTACAATTAGCAATATTGGACTTTGTCATGATGGCCAAAGCACCCATATTCATTTACAATAGTGCAATGAAAGGGTTCGCAACAGGGACACTCGGCTGCAAAATATTTGCTCTCATGGGAGCATACAGTGGAATTGGAGCGGGCATGACGAATGCTTGCATTGCATATGATAGGTAAGCAATATTTACAAAGAATATAATAAGGCTTGTTCTAACTTAAGAAAAATGCTTTGATTATTTACTCCTAGATAGAGCGTGGCAGCTCAGATGATGTTGAAAAAAATATTAGCCAAGTGCTTGATTCTAAGTCGTGTCCCGTCAGTTAGTGTTCAATGTAACGCTGAGCGATACACACGTCAATTACAGAGTTTCGTGTTGAAATTATTGGTTTGAAATACCGAGGCATGCGATAAAAGTTTGGCAAAATTATAAAAGTTGCATAAAAACAACCAACAAAGTCACTTACCATCGCTAAGTAACTAATTATTCACCTTAAAAAAAATTATATCATCATATTAGTAAAAAAAATTACGACTCTATCTTGACATTTTCAAAGTTTATCAGTATCTCATTACAAAATTCCCCAAAAAGTAAGTATGGGTAGTCAAAATTTTTACCGATTGCAGCTTATTGCATCTCATTATGGAAAAAAGTTTTCTTTTTATATCAATATAAATTTAATTGTTTCGAAACTGGACGGAATCCACACCAAATATCAAGAGCCCTTTTACAAATTTGCGCCGCTGCCGTACTGATCAGCGCGTAGGTAGATTTGCACTTGTATATGTTATGGGCCAAGTGATTAATGCGTTTAGTATTCATAATGCCAGGGCAGTATGAATAATGCCCAGCCATATCGGGCCAAGTGATTAATTACAATATAAACTCACCTATTTATCACATTGCCCGGTCATTATTAATAATGCCGGACGGCTCGTGGCCCGGAGACGCGGAGGGAGAGCAGCCCCCGCCTGCTGTGACAAAGCCGCAGGAATCGTGCGACCCGTAGCGCCTGAGGTACAAGCCGAAGATGTGAAGGGGAGTGATGCTTGTGACTTTGTCACGCAAAGGCGGAGGGGCTGCTATTATACTGCTAAAAAATAGGGAAACATAAATTCGCAACACTTAACAGATTTAATGAATTTTTCAAACACACTGCATTGAAACTAATATAGACTATAGTTTCTAAATGTAGCCCTTCGTAAATTGATCGAAGTAAAACCGAATTCTGATTATTTAAATTAAAAATAAATACTAAACTATAAAACATGTTTTTATTATTACCTTACCCGATAATTGATTTCATTACTTGTAATGCTCGGTCTATCTAACTAAGTATTCATTTGAAAGTATTAAACATGCTTTACATCACTCTGCCCAATAGGCACTTGGCATTATTCATAATGCCCGGGCAATGTGTAAATTGATCGGTTTTAATCACATTGCCCGCTCTTATGGGGCATTATTCATATTGTCCGGGCATTATGAATAATGCTAGTTTAATCACTTAGCCCATAACATATACAGCAACAAAACATATATAAACATAACATATATATAACATATGTCCCACGGCTACCACACACGGAGGGTAAGTATATTAAATATTGAAGATAGGATATTTTACCGAAAGAATACATCATTTTATTTTTAATAATAACTAGAACTGCATTCACCGTTTTTTTTTAAATCGCCTGCCTCAACTGGGAATCATACTCGTGAAATTTTATAAATCAAAAAACGACTTTTTTTATGATAACCATCGAAAGGGTTAATCATAAGGATTATTTTTTGCTAAATAACATAGTATTTTAAATGAAAGAAAAGTTTTATTTAAAATTATTTAACACAAACTGATTTAAAAGCGAAATGGTGCAAGAAAAAAATATAATTTAATTTATCAAATGTTCAAAATGTGATCCATGTTGTTGTATACAAATTCTCACTCTTTTAATAATTTCTCTGCCTGTCGATAATGACATTTCGTCAATTTGCATCAGGAAGATAATTGATCTCACCTCTTAAAATATTAAGTATTTCTAGATATCTTACCGTGTTCAGATTCCCTTCGTAAAAATGTATTAAGAGAACCCGGTTTTTAACAATCCCACACCAACAGTCGAAAGAAAAGCGCACTTAATCATTATTATTGTCTCACGGATACATAAGGGATTTTGTCTGGACCAAATACGATTATTACGCCGGTTGTACATATAAGATGGCCAGCGAGATCCCCAGATCTAACCCGGCTGGACTTTTTTTTGTGGGGTTATGTAAAAGATAAAGATACAAGATCCGGTACGACAGTGTGCAGGAGTTACAAAATGAACTCAGACGTATTATTACAAACATTCACCAAGCAAAGATAATGAAATCGACAGGCAAGGAAATTATTAAAACAGTGAGAATTTGTATACAACAAAATGGATGACATTTTGAACATTTGATAATTTTTTTTTTCTTGCACCATTTTGTTTTTATATTAGTTTGTGTTAAATAATTTTAAATAAAATGTTAAATTTAATGACTTTCCTTTAATTTAAAATGCTATGTTATTTAGCGAAAAATAATCCTTATGATTAATCCCTTCGATGGTTATCATAAAATATGTTGTTTTTTTTTTCGAAATTTCACGAGTTTGATTCCCAGTTGTAGAAGGCGATTTTAAAAAAATCTGTGAATGCAGTACTAGTTATTATTTAAAATAAAATGATGTTTTCTTTCAATGAAATACCATCAACATTTAATATACTTTCCCTCCGAGTGAGGTAGCCGTGGGACGCCCTGTATATTGCATTTTACGGGTGATGTTTCGAGTCTTATAAAATAATTATTAATGAACTAATTATAAAATATATACATATTTCAGTAATTCAATGATGGTAGATTAGTTTTATGAAAGTTTTTGATAGTAATTCTATTTAATTCAATATCAAAATACGTGGTAAACCTGCATTATTTTTTGGGAAAACTCACAGAGGTAATTAATTTTTTGATAATTAATGTGATGTGTGTGTGAGGTTAGATGTTTTTCAAAAGTCTAATATATTATTTTACAATAAAAGCATATTCCTGATGTCGTAGTAATTAATTTGATCTAATTTATTGAACATTATTTAGAGATTCAGGCGTTTGAAGTTGTGCATATTATCGTTTTTTCCGTAAACTAGCTGCGGTAGAACGATCAGTGCAAAAAAACGAACATAGTATTTGCAAATATTCTACATTAACTTACAATAGGAAAAATAAATCTACTGTCTACTTCTATTGGAAATAGTCAAAATCTTTTCTAAGGGGGTAAAGGAGGCGCTCAAAAATTAGGATTTTTTGCAAAAAATGTGAAAGGGCTCTTAAACCGATTATTATTGGACAAGGTCAATTTTCAGTAATGTATTTTTAATAGTTTACTTTGTTTTGTTTATATTCTACGACCATGTTCGTACCACAGTTATAATTAATTGTTAGAACTAAAGTAATACATAATAGAAAAATATAACCATTGAAATTGGAAATTATAACTTCAAAGCAACCTAACGGATTTTGTAACAGTCTCCCACTGCTAATAATTTCAAAATAACACATGAATTTATTTTTGTCTAACTGCCGAGAACACCGAGACAAAGGGAGGTTTAAACCGTTGGATGTTGCTAGTTTTTTGTTTTTATAAAGTCCACTATTTCCAGACTACCTAATGATCCCATAATGAAAAGTCGGTGAGTGGTCGTCATAAGAAGTCGCGGAGAACATTTCTGGTAATCAGCTAAAATTACGGTTTTAAGCTCAGATCATTTTAATAAAATAATAAATTAAAATAATTGTAAAACAAGTTTTGCGTTACAGAGGTATGTATTGTATAAGATATCAAAATTTAAAGATAAACAATATGAAACTACTAAATTCAAGGCCTTATTCATCTTAATATGAAAAAAGTCCATTTTATTGTATTTTTCTCATGGCTATTATTTAAGTTAAAATAAAAAATTTAAACATTTTTTTTTTCAAATATCCAAGTATAAAGGACATTGTTCAGCGTCCATACATAGTTAGCCTAAGAAACATCAATCATGAAATATTGTTTTCTAGGTTCGAAATCGTAAGTAAATGACTGTAAAAACAAAGATTATTGACGGACACTTCTGAGAACTTAAATTATTAGGAAAACTAAATGTTTTTTGAGGTTATGTTTAATATTCAATGAAACATAGGTTAACCTATGAACTTAGTATGAAGTGAATTAATATTAGAACTAATTATTTCATTTCATTAATCACTCATCATTTTATTCGGTGCGATTTTAAAGAATAACTATTAGGAAAACCTTGGATAGGTAGGAATCATGAATAAAATAATAATGTAGTTTTTCTTCTTATTTATTGACTATTTTGCACATAATTGTATCATATTGTATATGGTATTTATTTGTATATCACATGTATATTGTGTAAATATGCAGCGTGAATGTGTATCAGGTGTTCTTGAATAATTTGGCAGTATGATCCTCTCAGGATGTTGTGACACAAGTTCACTAGCACTTGGTAATAAGGTCTCTGTTCTTTGGTAACATCGATGGCCGAAATAGTTAAATTAAAGGAAAAACAATCGCAAATATACACACACAAACAACAGGTAAACAGGTAATCCGAAACGAGAGTGCACTTTCCTGTATATTATATTACTCTTTGGAATGCACAAATGCCACAGATTACTACGAATGCAAACTGCCTGCTTGCACCACAACCACAGAGTATCGAGTTTTATGCCGGCCCTTTGCTTGACAACAGTTTGTCCTTGTCATGCTTAATAAGGAATGAAAAGGACAGACTGATGTCATGTTTTAAAATAGCAAATACGAATAGCAAGTGAAGTGCCGGCATAAGAAAGAAAGAGTGTTTTGTTTGCAGCGCTGTCATAGATTATACACTTAAAATGGTATTTATTGTCTCAGATTATTTTTAACTCTTTAATTTAGCTTACTTAACTAGAAGTGTCCGTCACAATCTAAATACTGATAATTATCCCAAAAAATATATTAAGAATTATCATAAATGCCAAATTGGTGTTGGTTCTTAGGCCAATTTAACATTGTCCTTTATACATTTTATTGATATTTCAACGTCTATAATTTTTAATTGTGTGAACAATATACAAATTCTGATTTGATTAAGTTTACACACTTTTTTGGGGAATATGGCCTTACCTACCTGGTATTTTGCGCATGTGCACCGAAACAAAAATAATGACATTTCGCGAGTGTAAAATACAAGATTCGCCGCTCGCGTATTTCGTTCTGCGTGTCTCGCACACAAGTATATTTACTTAACATCAGGTGGGGTAGAGTCATTTGCCTACCTCGCTTTAAAAAAAATACATAAAACCTGGTCTATTTTTATCGCAGTGTTTACTAGGTGACGCTCTCTCTATCTAAAGAGTAAATAATCAAAGGTTAAATGTCGATATATTTTCATGCACAAAAATATATTATTTGTTTCTATTCGTCGTAAGATAAAAGACGAACTTACAGACCTATTCATGTTTTTAAGTAATATACAACTTGTACACGTATCCAAAGAATTGCTATGAAACCCTATAACAAGTTGATTAAAAATTATTGTGTCTTCCAAATTATGTGACTTTATGAATCATCTCGTATTGAAGTAATTTTTTAACTTGCTTTGTCTGCCTGTGGGAGAAAAAATAGCCCTTGCCATTGTGTTCTTGCTAGTTCTTTTCAGTAAAATATCTCCCCCAGCAGATTCGTGAACAGATGGCGCAAGTGATTTTCATATCCGTTGCTTTATGTGTTGAATTAATTATATTATAAATATCTTTCTTATCTGCCTTCCGTCCGTTCTTCTGTCAGTATTCTATATCTCATAAACTGTAACAGGTTGAGAGTAAAACTTTCACATAGCCTTTCTTTTTCAAATATTTCTATCGCCTCTACAACAAATATTTGTATTCTAAACGTTACTCAGTTCTCATAATTGAAACTATACTTAATTTGAAAATATAACTCCTCATCTCGGAGAATCGGACTCGAATTTGGTCTGTTTTATTTTTAAATGCCATTAGATATCTCTTATATAAATCGTCGACAATTAAAAAAAAAGATTGTTATACCTTTAAATAACAACACAGAAACTAGAACTTATTTATAGTAAGGACTTATTTTTGTAATAGCGTCGCATTTATTGCAGACATTCAACAATCACAAGGCCGTTAGATGGACGTCTTTCTCGAGGCAAAGCTTTGCTAATGATGTCTTTCGTTTGGATCTACGCCACACCGTGGGCTCTGCTGCCCCTCTTTGAAACTTGGGGAAGATATGTACCTGGTATTTTTGTCATTTTTTTTCATCTTTTTTAGGTACATTGTTATATTATTACTAGTTGTCCCAGCGAACGTCGTACCGCCATAAAAAAATAGGGGTTGGTGGAAGAAAGTTGAAAATTTAGGGATGTATGTATTTTTGCATGATGTATCATTAAAAAATAAAAAAAAATATATCTAAAATTTAAAAAAAAAATTGGGGTGGATTACCCTTAATATTTAGGGGGATGAAAAATAGATGTGGTCCGATTCTCAGACCTACCCAATATGCACACAAAATTACATGAGAATCGGGAAAGCCGTTTCGGAGGAGTTTAACCACAAACACCGCGACACGAGAATTTTATATATTAGATTATATTATTATTGGGGTAGGTATAAATTAGGAACAGCATAATCTCCAGTTATCCGTTTCAATATTTTTCTCATATGGCACAGTGTATTACACATTGTTCTGAATAACAAACAAAGCGAATGTCGGTAAATATCAAAATAAGAGAATGTGAAGAAAATATAACTAGAAAAAATTTCACGCGGGCCAGGCAGCAGACGGGACTCGAACCCGTCCCGTCCCGTCCCGTCCCGTCTGCTGCCTGGTCCGCGTGGAATTTTTTCTATGTAGTTATATTTTCTTTAGATTTAAACATCAAGCAGTTACATGCTTTAAAATAATAAAAAATATAAGAGAATGTGCTTAATATCAATGAAAAATTAAATTATGTGCTTTTCTTTTATCTTAATATTTTTCTTTAATTGCAACTTGTCAATCAATACTTCGGAAAAAAAGTATCTATATGTATTGGATGTTCATAAAAATACCAATTTTTTATGTATTGCCTACTTTTACAATATAATTATTGTTATATTCAAGAGCGAATACATAAAACTCACGTTCGATAAATAAATAATATAATTATGTTTCTACTACCCACTAATAACTAATGCTGAAACTGTTGTTTTTTACAGAGGGATATTTAACATCGTGCACGTTTGATTATCTGACCAATACATTCGACACTAAGCTCTTCGTAGGCTGTATATTTTTTTGCAGCTACGTTATACCAATGTCGTTCATTATTTATTTCTACAGTGGTATTGTTAAGCAAGTTTTCGCACATGAAGCTGCATTAAGGTAACAAACACAAGTTTATATCTAGTGTAATTATTTTAATACATAAAATATTAAAATGAGTAAAGTATTTTAAAATTTAAAAATACTTAACTAAGCCACAACAAGTTTCATAGTTAATTAAATACTTACGACAGCATTTTTGTACTTCAAATTGTCTCTATATTTTAGACTAGTGGTCCGCCCCCGCTTCGCTTCGATGTAGAGCTGTAGTGTGGAGTGGACTGTAGTTTTTACAAATTCTATTATACACATTGACTTCCTTCATATAATGATAAACCTTCCATTCCAAGTATTTTTTTTGGTTTCGTAATTTAGGATCCTCTGTACCGAAATCACCATTACTTGGTTCCTATTTAAAAATTCCACTTACTGGTGTATTCTGTTTTTTTTTACTTTCAGGCCGTCATTTGAAAACTTAAAAACAGTATTATATCGGTCTTAGGGTACTTTGTGAACTTTTTATATATTTATGGTTGTTATTTTTTTAATAGGGAACAAGCTAAGAAGATGAACGTGGAATCACTAAGATCGAACCAAACTGCTGGGCAACAGTCAGCAGAAATTAGAATAGCAAAGGCCGCTTTAACTGTTTGCTTCTTATTCGTAGCCTCATGGACACCCTACGGTATTATGTCCCTAATAGGGGCTTTCGGAAATCAGGAACTGCTTACACCTGGGGTAAATAAACTGCTTTGACTAAAACTACTTAATAAAACAATTTATGTGTTGCTTGCTTTCATAGGTGCCAATAAATATGTACGGTTTTTTTTTTATTTGCTACTCCTTTTTTTAAGGTTACTATGATTCCTGCTATAACATGCAAAGCAGTTGCCTGTATAGACCCATGGGTTTACGCCATCAGTCATCCCAAATACAGGTAATTATATGTAGGTACTAGCTTTAACTCTCGACTTCATCCGCTTTAATTTTAGTAATTTCAGCCAGAGGCAAGACAAATATTTTACTTATAGCTTCCAATTGATGAATCGTCTAAGTCATGGATGTTTTATGTATTCCTTATAGAGTAACACATCCTACACGGCCAGGAAGGGAATAGGCATACACAGCTTTCCCCTCTGTCGAGTTGGGAATACAAATTGAGCTAATAAACGATACATGTGTAGCAAGAAATTAGCGATGTATTGTGTCATTGTCTATGTGAGTGTCACAGTTACAATAAAACTGTTTTATTTAAATGCGGGCACGGTAAACTGCCATTGTGTGCATGTAACCCGCAAAAAATGACAATGATTTTTATAGTATTATGTCGCTATGGCTACTCCCTTCCGTGTTGCTCTATATTATTTCTAGATACAAAATATCAGTATGTATTCTATTTTAATTACCCTAATATCTGAAGAGTAACTTTTTCTAATATCCCAGAACACAAGCTTCACAGTGCTTACTTTGAACTTTTACTTAGACTAAATGGAGTGGTTGTAAAAAATGTGTTACAGGCAGGAGCTACAGCGGCGTATGCCATGGCTGCAGATCGACGAGCCCGATGATACTGCATCAACCACCACCACCAACACAGTCAACGCCCCGCCTGCAGCATCTGCCTAACTTGTCTCTAACAAACGAAGCCATCTATATAAAACCAAACTTAGCTGTAACTTATCGATTAAGACGTATGCGAACATTTTGTACATGCTCAAAACGGAGATTTGACTACATAATTTCTTATATACCTCTCAAACGACGACTAAAGCTTGCATGACGGACTACGATATAGATAATACTTATCTAATTTTTAGTACCTTACTGTGTCTATGAATAAAATGCATATTTATGATGTGCAGAGATTTTTTTTTATTGTTTCAACCTTTTTTTCGAATATATTCGGAGTTTAAAAATTACTACTATTCCAAACTCTAAAGGACAATGGGGAAGTCCCGTACAAATTTTGGTTGAGATTTTTTGCGTCTCTAAATCAATTACATGTTAAATCATAAAGTTTAGAGTCTTGATTTGATTCGTCTTATTTCTTTTATTACAAGAAGTCTGGATTTATAGATATTCCACTTTGAAGTTTTTGGAGGTTATGTTATACCAAGTAATACAAAAACAAAGGATAAAAGTATTCATAGAGTATTTTTAGATCAAAATATTAAATACGTGGAACGGAACTATAGAAGTATACCCAAGAAGCTTATACTCAATATGGAGCCTGCACGACGAATAAAAAAGTGAATACCAAGAAGTTGACCTTGAATGACGTAACTGTTCTTTGCTATCTCTCTTACTCAAGAAGCTTTCTTGCTCTTACTCTTTAGATGGAGTAGCCATATAGAAGTTTAATTTTCCCAAATAATATTATACGCTATAGCAGTGGTCTGATTTTTTGACATCAACAAGTTTTAAAATACAAAAAAAATAGCTTTATTTCATAAGTAATATGATTTTATGCCTTTCAATAATAGATTTATACATTCATTTACATTATTTATTTGTGTTATTTCCTCTTCTTCTTTTTATGATGACTTGCGTTATGACTTACCACAACTCCGCCAATTTCAAGTAATTAGCCATTACACGTAGGGGAATGACAGTTGAAATTCATAATTTTTGTTATTATATAAACTCTTTTACCTATACCTAAAGAAAAAGTTATCTTTCTTTATGACGGTAACACGTAAAACTATCGTCCATAAACCGACTTTATAGACAACCAATGTTTTTATTGTTATTTTTCACCTTAAAAAACCAGGGTTTAGATAGAATACTGTGTGTATATCGACGTAGTATTTATCAACACGATCATTAGTCTGAAGCCAGTCAATTTCTCAAAGTTATGGTAATTCTGACGACGTATTATTGCAACACCAACAGCAATATGTCAAACTTTGTAGTGGCTACTGTCATGCGAATATCATACGCTTCGAAAGTTGCCTTCGGTTTTATTTAATTATTAAGCAGTATTTTGGTGATAATCAACATGAGTTGTATAGTCCGCGCTTGCAGAAATCTGTGGAGTCCAGGATCAAGCGTTAAATTCCACAGGTATTTTATTAAATCAATATTATTACTCGATAAGTTCTCTTTCTTAACCAAGGCTTATTTCACGTCTATTTTGAAACTTACTTAGGAGATGACTCTGCTTTTAGGTTGAGTGCGTGATACAAGTGTCCCTGTTAAATTTGTATTTTTCACACTTAAAAGCCACTGTTGAGTTACTTTTACTTGTTCTCTGTGTCTGTTGTGTTGTACGCTTATTCGGTAAGATTTATCACCATTTCTTAACCTAATTACAATTATGGACACCGACCCCCTGGATCCCGGTGGCGGTTCGGCCGCATCTCAAGATTTATTCCCCTTACAAACCCAAGATAATTTAAGCGGTCTAAATAGAAAACGTACTCAAAATAGTAATATTAACCCTATTCCAACCATCTGCCCAAACTACCTACATTCTACCAGATTTTGCTGATAGCAAAAATAACTATGCAGATGAGGATGTAGGTCCCTTTATAGTTCACGTCTCGAAAAAAGAAATGGATCCCTCGCAGGGAGCTGTCCTGCGTGCTATAAATTTTGGCAAATTCTTACATGCTAACAACATTATAAACATCACAGTAGATGGAGTAAAGAGAGTAGGCCGTAATCACGTATCAATTCAATTTAAGTCAGCAGCCGATGCTAACTCTTTCATGAGCCATCCAGCAGTGAATGATAACAATTATTTAGTAAACATTCCTTCATTTAATGTCAGTCGTATGGGAATTATTCGAGAAGTGCCTGTTGAATGGTCTATGGAAGAATTAGTTAATAATATTCAAGTTCCTTCAGGGTTTGGAAAAGTTTTTCGAGCTAGGCGATTACACCAAAAATCCATAATAGGGGACTCTGCCCCAACTTGGATCCCAACCCAGACTGTTGTGGTAACTTTTACTGAAAAAAAATACCTGACCATATTTATTGCTATTACACTGCTTTACCTGTAGAAATTTATAAACTGCCAGTAATTCAGTGTAATAGCTGCTGCAGATTTGGACATGTAAAATCACAATGTCGGTCCAGACCTCGCTGCTTTAAATGTGGTGATATGCATGATGGACAAAGCTGCTTGAGCCAGGCACCCCCTAAATGTATTTTATGTTCTGGCAATCATCATGCCACTCATAATTCCTGTCCTGAACACGAAAGACAAAAATCGATAAAATTGGTGATGTCCCAAGAAAACCTGTCATATGCGGAAGCGTCAGCTTGATTCGCCTCTGTACGAAGGTCGTTTGCAGATGCCACCAGAACTAACTCACCGATTATAATCTCACAGCACATTCCACTCCCTAGGCCTTCTACTACTTCATACCGTAAAACTGTTGTAACTCCTCGTCATAGCCCCTGTCCTGCTTCCAGTCCAGGCTATAATAGACATACACACAATAATATAATTCGCTCCCCTTCTTCATCCCAGCCAAATTGATATGCTATTGAAAATAATCTCTCGGCTAATAATACACCAAATGATAACTTAATTGAAATGTTATTTTTACAATTGTCAACACTTATTAATTTCATCCAAAGATTCAATGATATAGAGTTACCGTACAATATTAGACAAAAACTTACTGAGCTATCATCTTACAACGCTAACATTCACCCTACTGCTCCAGTGGAACTGCAGGAGTATTAAATATAAAAAAACAGATATAATACATCTCATAAACTGCCATAAGCCAGTAATTCTTGCCATCCAGGAGACATGGCTTGGGCCTGGAATCCGTTATAGAATTTCAGGCTATGCTTCTCTCCGGGATGACAGGAGTGATAGCAAAGGTGGATCAGCATTGTTTATTCTAAGAAATTATCCTTTTGATCCTATAGTTCTCCCTGCACATAATAATGATAATTTTAATATAGTGGCTGTTCGAGCCATGAACATTTCTTTTATTTCGCTGTACATCCCACATCCTAATTTAACCATACTGTTACAAATATTGTCTATTATCAAGAACATTGAAAGACCATGGATAATCATGGGAGATTTTAATATTTATAATGAAGCATGGGGTTGCCATACTTCTGACCCACTTTCATCTACATTTTTAGATATAATTGATGACCTTAATTTCTGTATTTTAAACGATGGCACGGCAACTCGACGGGTAGCGCCATGTCAAAACCCTAAAAGCGCTGTTGATCTAACTTTATGCTCGGCTAGCCTTACTGCGGGACTTAACTGGCAAGTTTTGCCTCATTCTTACGAAAGCGATCACTTTTCTATCCTATTATTATTACCTAACCCTAGAAGGGAACCCCCAAATTACAACAATAGACAAAAATTCATACTATCCCAAGCTGACTGGACAAAGTACGCTTCTATCTCAGATGACAAAGTATAAAGACTTTTACTGACTCTGAACCCAGTCAATATTCATTCCGACTACCAGCTATTCAAAAATGCTCTTTTATCTGCTGCATAAGAGTGTATTCCACTACGCAATCTCCCCTCCTCTAGCCGCATTTCTTCACCACCTTGGTGGGACAAGGAATGTACCATGGCTTGCAAAAATCGAAAGAAGGCAGAAGCAACCTACGCCTCTGCAATGAATTCAGAGAACTACCTAAAAATTATAAAAAAATTGCTGCAAAAACGGTCCAACTACTAAAATTTAAGAAGAAAGAAGGCTGGTCCAAGTTTTGTTCATCCCTTTCCCCAAAGTTCTCCCCGACGCTTGTCTGGAACAATATAAAAAGGTTCCGTGGATCGACATCTGATTGCCATAACACTTCTTCTGACCCATCTTCATGGTTAATACCCTTCAGTCAAAAAATTGCCCCCCTTTCGGCTCCTGCCATTGAAGAGATCACAGTCCTTCCTGCAATTCAAAGGTCCTCATCTACTCTAGAATCACCCTTCTCTTGGGAGGAGCTCTCCATAGTTCTATCAGGACTGGAGGACTCCTCCCCGGGAGTTGATGGAATCCCTTACTTTTTATTGCCAATAGTGGAAATGACACGAAACTTTGCTTTTTAAATTTGATCAACACAATCTTTATCAGTGGTGCTCCACCCGACGAATGGAAGACGCAGATAATTATTCCCATATTAAAGGGAGGCAAACCTGGCAACGACCCATCCAGTTACCGCCCTATCGCTCTCTCCAACACATTGTTTAAAATACTAGAACACCTCATCAAGAACAGATTGGAATGGTTTTTGGAGAACAATAACAGGCTAGCAGAAACGCAATTCGGTTTTCGTAAAGGATCAAGCACAATGGACAGTCTGAGTACTTTTGTGACTGATATCCGTATTGCTCTTTCAAAACGAAAATCAGTTGTAGGCGTGTTTCTCGATGTAGCAGCCGCCTACGATAACGTTCTTCTCCCGGTGCTCAGGCAGAAAATGCTCCAGCTGAACATCCCTGAGAGGATCATAAACTTTGTTTTTAATAGCCTAACCAATAGAGCGATTCTCATAAACTCCCAAAATTCTACTCTACCAGCCAGAAGTGTTTGGAAAGGTCTCCCCCAGGGGTCGGTGCTCAGGCATTTGCTATATAATATTTACAGATATGATCTAGACCTGACGGTTAAGTCATTCTGTAATACACTTCAATA